TCCTGCTACTTTCTTCATTGATTCCACCATTTCTATAAAAGTAAAATAAAATCTTAAAATTTAAGTTTTAACATCCCTTCCCTTCAAAATAGGTCTTTTTTCTGACAAGTTAATGTAAAACAAAACTCTACCAAAAATAACTTCATAAACATCAAAACTACTTTGAGTAAAAAACCAAAAACATGTAAAATAAAGTGAACTAAGAGTCCGGAACAAGATCATCTGGAATTAAAGTTGTATGGAATCAGAACAACTTCCAACAGTACCTAGTATATATAAGCATGGTTTGGAGACTCTCTCTCAATATTAAATAAGGTAACTAGGAATGCACAACTACCACAACTGAGTTGGAGGTTCAAGACAAAGATTCAATTCCCAAATACAAATAAATGATTATTTTCCAAATAATAGTCATGGGAGAAAAGGGAATTCATTCATACAGCAAATATATACTGAGCATTTAGTTAGTAACAAACACAAACCAAACATATCTTTGGATGTTCCCATCCTTCCTCCCTGAGAAGGGCACTATCCACCTCCTATTAAATTCATTCATCAGCAAAACTTTTGATGATTCCTATTTGTTACCACTAGGTGGCAAGCAAAGAAAGGGGCCCAGATAAACTTAGGGAAATCCTAAGTACAGGAAAAAAATAGGTAATACAATACACGGTGGATGCAAAGAACTAGAAACAGCTCAATAAATGCATTAATGAAAACCATGCTTTTAGAAACAACTTTAGTATTACCATGTGGCTCTCTAACTTACTGATTCAGAATTTTGGTGATAAGACCCAAGGATCTGCATTTTAACAAGGCACTCTCAGCATACATTAACACTCCAAGCACAAGTGTTACCTTAAGGTATGATGTAGACAGTGATTTTATGAAGCACTGCTTAATTTTATGTTAAATTATGTATAATCTCAGGGAAATATGTTTCAAAATTTTATCCTTTCAGGAATATAAGTTAATAGAAATATTAAAATGGTATAAGGTCTTTGGAAAGCAGCTCACTAGTTTCTTAGACAATTGAACACCTTAGGACTCAGCGATTCCACCCCTAGGTATTACCCAAGAGAAATAAAAATATACCTTCACAAAGACTTTTACACAAATATTCACAGCAACTTTATTCATACTAGCCAAAAGATGAAAACCCAAATACCCATCTATATGATGTACCGCTCAAGAATAAAAAAGAATAAAACTACTGATACAAGTAACAACATGAATGAATTTCAAAAACGTCATGATAACTGAAAAAAAGCCAAAAAAGCCAGTATGATTCCACTTAAATCAAGTTATAGAAAATACAACACTATAAAGGCAGAGTGCAAATTAAGTGGTTATCAAGGTATGGTTACCCAGGGCATGGGGGTGAAGTGTAGGGCTTGTGTGCAAAGAAATACAAGAGGAATTTTGGGGGTAATAAAATTAACTGTTCTACTGTGGTGGCGGTTACACAACTTAATAAAAAGTTACTGAATTATACATTTAAAAGTGGCATATTTTATCATATATAAATTATACCTCAATAAAGCTGACTTTTCTTTTTTTTTTTTTTTTTAATTATTATTTGTGCCTACAGCACCTGGTCTTCGTACGTGGTCTCTCATCTAAGTACTAACCAGGCCCAACTCTGCTTAGCTTCTGAGATCAGACATCGAGTTTGTTCAGGGTGGCATGGCCGCAGACTATGGACCGTGGCTCCACTGGGGCGTGAACCTAGGACCTTCTGCGTGTAAAGCAGACATGCTAACCGCTACACTATGGAACCACGTCCAGTAAAGTTGATTTTTTAAAACGTAGTTCTGAAGCATTAAAAACATTAAGGAGTATGGTAATAAGACCATTAATTCATTTGTGGGAGCATAAAGGCATTCACTTGAAACATCCAATATTTTTTTAAACTATAGTCACAGAAAAAAAGGCTAAATTTAGGGGCAGTGGAGTAAAAGGGTATCATTTCAAGCTCACTTATACTTATTAGTTTATTCTCAAAACAACAACAAATCAAACATAGGTCAGAAGGAAAATTCATAGATACAAAAAACTAATGGTTGCCAGATTTTTTTTGGGGGGGGGCTGGATGAAAAATGAAGGGATTTTTAAAAAAGAAAAAAGGTAAAGGGATTAAATACAAATTGACAGTTACAAATAGCCACAGGGTATAATATACAGCAAAAGGAATACAGTCAATAATATTGTAATAACTATGTATGGTGCTAGGAGGGTACTAGGCTTATCAAGGAGATCATAAGTTATATAAATGTCTAACCATTATGCTGTACACCTAAAACTAATATTGAATGCTGACTGTAACTGAAAGTTATTTTTAAATTTTTTAAAGAAATAAACCAGTAATTCACTTTTCTAATCCTTTAAAATCATGGGCCTCTGTAAAAATATGGACACGAAATTACCTGAAACCATCAAAATTTAACAGTGATGTCTGCGTACCATTCCAGGTGACTGAGATTTCTCCACATTTGTATGCTTTAAAATTTTTCAACAATGAACACTGAGTATTTTTACAATGTGACTGGGAAATATATTTAAAGTACTCAATGATATTCTACTATCCCAGATTCAATTAAGTGTAATTCCCTTCATTTAGAAAGCCACAAAACAATGCACAAAATACTGTGGTAAAACTACAGAAGCAGCAGTATCCACTTCTAGTTAACGGCTTTACTGATCTGTAATTCACAAATCACTCAATTCGCCCATTTAAAGTGTGCAATTCAATGGTTTTTATTGTATTTACAGTACTGTGCAACCATCACTTGAAAAATATCTCCATACTCATCAGCAGTCACTCCCCACTTGCCCTCAACTCCCTCAGCCATAGACAACCACTAATCAATCTACTTTCCGTCTCTATGACTATATAAACGGAACCATATTATATGCTGTCTTTTGTGACTGGCTTCTTTCACCTAGCATGTTTCAAGATTCGTCCACAGTGCAGCACCTCTCGATACTTCAATTACTATATGGATATACAACTTTTTATTTACCCATTCATCAGTTAATGGACATTTGAGTTGAATTTTTTTTGGCTATTATTAATAATGCTATGAACACTGATATAAGTATGCTTTTGAGTCTCTTGAATATATATAGCCAGGAGTGTAACTGTTGGGTCGTGTGGTAACTTTTTGAGGAACTGCTAAACTGCTTAACAGGAGCTGCACCATTTTTACATTCCCACCAGCAACAGAGAAGGATTCTAATTTCTCCATTTCTCAACCAACACTTATTAGCTTCCTTTAAAATAAAAAAAAGTCATCCAAGTGGGTATGAAATGGATCTCATGATTTTGATTTGTATTTCCTTGACGGCTAGTAATGGTGAGCATCTTTTCATGTGCTTCTCGGCCATTTGTGTATATCTTTGGAAAATATTCATATGCTTTGCCAATTTTTAATTGAGTTATTTGCCTTTTTATTACTGAGTTGTAGGAGTTATTTACTTTTAAAATCTCAACTATTCCTTAGCCCCTCATGTCTCCATTCCTGAAGGAAGCACACTAAGGGATAGTAGTAGCATAAGTCAGAAAAGAGCTTTCCTACCACCCCTAAAAGTTCTACAATCAGTGTTTTGTACCAATTTGTATAAATTATGACTATAATGAAGCTCTTATAACATTGATGTCATCCTTATCCTTTTAACACCAGCAACAGAAACATTATCTGAACTACAATGTATCCCAAAAACTAAGTAAAATTTCTGATTTAGCCAAAAAAATCTAGACAGAACACAACACCTACATCAGCAGAGGATTAACACCAACTGTATTCACACAAATTTCTCAACACGACTATATTTCATGAAATCACCTTAACAGCAACTATTTCATCAATGTGATCTAAGCATTTCTGAGACAGGGAAGGCTGTCCAATCTGTTTAGAGGAGGCCTTACCATAACTTATGAACCAGGGAACTGAGACTCATGGTCAAATCACTACTTATGGATGCACAGGCAGTTTGGTACATGAAGTTTGGGCAATAAAATATACAATTTCTGGGATGTCCGATAGTTTGGAAACAATGGGTAGCTGACTGAAAATCACCACTGTTACAGCAACTCTGGAACATACAATCCCCACAATTCAAAAAGGGCATTTTAAACATAATGATAAGCGTGTTTGGCTCCAAATCACTTCGCCTTCACTGAGAGATAACAGCCTAATTAGACATTCATTACCATTAAACCAGCTTGCCTCTATTTCTTACTAAACTATCCTACCAAAAAGAGCATCAAATGTTATTCACCAAAACTTTAATTTAGCGTTGATTTTTGGTTTTGCTCTTTGAAGTATTTACACATTCATTCAATAAACTCATAAATAAAACATCTCATGTCAGGCATTGTTCTAAATGCTTTGCATATACTAATGTATTTAATCTTCTCAACAGACCTTCAAAGCAGGCACCACTGTCATCCCCATTTTATACGAGGACACTAATTAATATGGAGGTTAAACATGCTCAAAAATCTCAAATTCAGCAGATTACAACCCAGGTAATCTGAATCCAGGTGTGCTTTGATTTAATTATATTACCTCAGATTTGAGAATTTGAGAATCCTTTGGTTTGTTTTTATAAGAACAGATACAATATAAATGGTTTCAATGACAAGACACGCAAGCTTAATTTATTAAAATGTATTTTATTCCTCCTCAGAACACATCTCTCCACCTATAAAATCTCCCCAAAATCACCTCCAAAAAGCTTATTGCTAATGCCTAATAGAGAGTAGATATTCCCATGCCACTAATATCTCTACATCAACATCCCAGTAAACTTGATTCTCCCGAGATTATCTCTGCCAGCCTGTAAAACAAGTCTCAGTGCTGAGTTTCAACAGTCTTTTTAACAAGACAAAGCAGAATATCTAAAAAGGGACACATCTCCATCTATCGGACTGACTACAAGTTACCACAAGGCCCAATTCTACGGTTCCTAATGAGATCCGGGGTCTGAATAGAAGCAAACTGTTCAGAATTTGTCACGGAAAACCAAG